AAAAAAAAAAAAAAAAACACTGAAATAAGTTGCGAACATTAAAATGGGTGATTTCACTTAAAAACGTGGATTCCCGGCTTCTGAAGAAAATGAGATCAGGCGATGGGTGGGTAGGAGTGGAGGAAACTGATGCCTTTAGTTTGACGGAGACCAGAACCGGCTCCAGGCTGCCAGGCTCAGGTTTTATTTTGTTTTGTGTTTTTGAGATGGAGTTTCGCTCTGGTCGCCCAGGCTGGGGTGCAATGGTGCCATCTCGGCTCACTGCAACCTCGCCTCCTGGGTTCAAGCAATTCTCCGGCCTCAGCCTCCCAAGTAGCTGGGATTACAGGCGTGCACCACCACACCCAGCTAAGTTTGTATTTTCAGTCGAGACAGGGGTTTCACCATGTTGGTCAGCGTGGTCTCGAACTCCGTATCTCAGGTGATCCACCCACCTCGGCCTCCGGAAGTGTTGGGATTACAGGCTCAAGTCTCCGTGCCCGGCCTTGGGAGGTATTTCCCACTGAGGCCCTTGGATCAGGCAAACCTAATTGGGTAGCACTGGATCTGTTTCTGGTATTGGGTCCATTTCAGTGATAGAGCCTCCCCACTTGCACATCAACCCTAGGGGAACTTAGAGGGTAACCCAACTCCAGCTGAGGCATAAATAACCAGGTGAGACAACTGCAGGGACCGAGCTGTTTCCCAAATAATTTCACTCTGAGATTGGACAGCCCTAAGATTTAGAAAGCTGTTGCCTCAGCTGGGGCAGAATTCTGCCTTTTTGTAATTTCCTTCCCTGTGAACCTGGTCCTGCCTCTAAAAATGCACCTGTACCAGGGAGGTGGAGGTTGCAGTGAGCGGAGATTGTGCCACTGCACTCCAGCCTGGCCACAGCAGGACTCCATCTCAAAAACAAACAAACAAACAAACAAAAAGCACCTGCACAGACAAGAAACCCATCTTGGTCAAAGTGAGTGGGGGAAGAGATCGCCCTTGCAGTTGACAAACTAAAATTGTCGGGATCTCTGAGAAAGGGAGGAGCTTGGGGATTAGAGGCCCAGCATAAGTTGCTGGGGGAGACAGCAGGGAATAGATTCTGAGAGCTGAGAGGCTTCCTGCATACAGTGGCTGCCGTTTCCCTTGTATTTCATTCTTCAGCTGCTCTGAGGCACCGGCACCTTCTCCTCCAATACTAGGGCAGGAACTATCTCCTGACTTTTTAATCTTACAGAATGTTCTGTGTTTCTGTGTAGCTTAAACACAAAAAAGCGGGTGGTAAAGAGGGAAAAAGGAAGACTTGGATCTTGTATAATTAGTTTTAGCTGTATACAGCTAACCAAATCTTGAGGTTAACTGAAACATCCAGGTTTTTTGTTTGCAACTAATAGAAGCATTTGACTTGCACTTATATTCCCTGGAGGATTCAAGTGAGCCGAGAAGGCAGAAGGAGAATGCATGAAACTGCCAGTAAGTCTTGCCCTTATCATACTTCTTTTTTCTTTTTGAGCCAGGGTCTTGCTCTGTTGCCCAGGCTGGAGTACAGTGGCATGATCTGGGCTCACTACAGTTTTGACCTCCTGGGCTCAAGTGATTATCCCATCTTTGCCTCCTGAGTAGCTGGGACTACATGTGTGTGCCACCACACCCGGCTAATTTTTTTTTGGTCAGAGCAGAAGAACTTGAAACCCAACTAATTAAACAACTTTTTTTTTCTGCTGGGCGTGGTGGCTCATGCCTGTAATCCCAGCATTTTGGAGGCTGAAGCAGGAGGACTGCTTGAGGCCAAGAGTTCAATACCAAGATTCAGCTCAAACGGCAAGCTCCTCTCAGAACCCTTCCTAATGAGCCAGCCCTCAAGTCCTGACGTTTCCTTCTGAGATGGGGTCTCACTCTATTGCCCAGGCTGGAGTGCAGTGGCATGATCTGGGCTCACTGCAATCCTTGCCTTCCAGGTTCAAGCCATTCTTGTGCCTCAGCCTCCCCAGCAGCTAGGATTAAAGGTGAAAGACACCACGCCCAGCTAATTTTTGTATTTTTAGTAGAGATAGGTTTTTACCATGTTGGCCAGGCTGGTCTCAAACTCCTGACCTCAAGTGATCCACCCCTCTTGGCCTTCCAAAGTGCTGGGTGTGAGCCACCGCGCCCGGCCCTCTGTTGAACTTTGCCCCTTACCTCTCCTGGCACACTAATGCCACTGTACCCTGAGGAGGTTATCTGTGTATGCATCAGGGGCCTCTCAGGATAATGCTGTAACTCCTCCCAGGTCATGTTGTTCAGCTAGGCGAGTGGCAGAAAGGGAAAATGAACCTTCCAGGCCCAGAAAACTTCCTTTCTGTTCATTGCCTAACCACAACCATTTTTCTGTTTGTTTGAGACAGAATCTTGCTCTGTTGCCCAGGCTGGAGTGCAGCAGTGCGATTTCGGCTCACTGCACCCTCCACCTCCCTGGTTCAAGTGATTCTCCTGCCTCAGCCTCCCAGGTAGCTGGGATTACAGGCCCTGCCACCAGGCCTGGCTAATTGTTTTTGTATTTTGTAGAGATGGGGTTTCACCATGTTGAGTAGGCTGGTCTGGAACTCCTGACCTTAGGTGATTTGCCCATCTTGGCCTCGCAAAGTGCTGGGATGACAGGCAGGAGCCACCGCGCCCAGCCCGCGCCTTCCTTTGTCCATTATTCTCGAGTTGTTTTTGGGATCTGTGTATTATAGGTGCTACACTTTGGTGGTTGTATTTGTTGCAAATGTACTATTCCTGTTTGTGTGTTGCCTTACGTGAAAAATTTTATAGTCACAGGCATGCCTATACCTATTAGAGTGTGAGCTCCTTCAAAGAGCTACAGAGGGATATCCTGACTTGCTCATCTTCTGAGAAGTGGCTTGACTGTTTTACTACTTGTTAACATTGATGAGAAGTCGGTAGAATAAAAACTGTCAGAGCGGTGTTGAGTACACACTGATATGACTAATGGCAAGGTCAATCAAAGAAAACATATGTTAGAGCTTCATGTGCTCACTTGCCTCACAATCATGTTAAATCCATGAGTTAAGGAGGTAGGAATTTGTTGAGGCAGCCTTAGAACTTCCTTTCCGTTTTCCCAGGCTATCCAAAGCCGGCCAATCACTTCCAGCGCATTTAAATCATCATCCAACACCTATTCCACTGAATTTTAGTTTCGAGAGTTCAAAACCCTAGGATGAAGTTTGGAAATCCCCTGGTGTGGCACGCTGGGTCCTCAAAGTTAGCCCAAGAGGCGCCTCCCTTGCCAGGTGTGGTCAATAATAAAAGCAGGAAGAGAGCTTAAGGCTTCAACGTGCTTTTCTAGTTATTTTAGTTATTTTTAGTTATTCAGATAGTGCAAAAAAGTTGCAGATGCCTTCTCTCCCAGCCCCACCCACTGTTCATGGTAGGGTATGGAGTAGCAGTGCACGTTATCAGGAGCAACTGTGGGGGTTTATGCCCTTGCATGCTGTTACTTGTATTTCTCTCTTTCCCTCTCTCCCTCCATTCCCTCTCCCACCCCACCCCCATCTATTTTTTTTTTTTTTTTTTTTTTTGAGACGGAGTTTCGCTCTTGTTACCCAGGCTGGAGTGCAATGGCGCGATCTCGGCTCACTGCAACCTCCGCCTCCTGGGTTCAGGCAATTCTCCTGCCTCAGCCTCCTGAGTAGCGGGTATTACAGGCATGCACCACCATGCCCAGCTAATTTTTTGTAGTTTTAGTAGAGATGGGGTTTCACCGTGTTGACCAGGATGGTCTCGATCTCTTGACCTCGTGATCCACCCGCCTTGGCCTCCCAAAGTGCTGGGATTACAGGCTTGAGCCACCGCGCCCGGCCCCATCTATTTTTTGAGGGAGTCTCACCTTCGCCCAGGCTGGAGTGTAGTGGCGTGATCATGGCTCACTGCAACCTCCACCTCCCTGGCTCAAGTAATCCTTGCTCCGTAGCCTCCTGAGTAGCGGGGACTACAGGCACACACCACCACGCTCAGCTAATTTTTGTTGTTGAAATAGGGTTTCTCCATGTTGGCCAGGCTGGTCTCAAACTCCTAGGCTCAAGCCATCTGCCTGCCTTGACCTCCCAAAGTGCTGGGATTATAGGTGTGAGCCACCGCGCCCAGCCACTCTACATTTTCACATCATTCCAGCTTCACCACTTAATGACCACTCACTTGGGTAACTTGCTTCTCTCCTGTGCCTCGGTTTTCTCATCCATAACATGGGGCTACTCACAGTATTGACCTCATAAGGTTTGTCTTAGTCTATTTCATGCTGCCATAACAGAATAACTGGAACTAGATAATGCATAAAAAAGAGAAATTGATTTCTCACAGTTCTGGAAGCTGGGATGTCCAAGTTCAAGGTGCTGGAAGGCGTGGTTGTCCGGAAAGAACTGCAGTTGGAGGAATGCCGTGTCCTGACATGGACGGCGTGAGGTAGAAGGTGGAAAATGGAAGGGCAAGTGAGCCCCGTGCTGGGTGAAGCTTCTTTTAAGAGGCCTTTAATCCCGATCACGAGGAAGGAGCCCGCCTCGCCTAATTACCTCTCACAGGCCCCAACTGTTAATTCTCTCACATTGGCAGCACCTGAATTTTGGAAGGGACACATTTAAAACAGCAGGTTGTCCTGACAAAGGAAGAAAGTGAGGGCCGGGTGTGGTGGCTCACACTTATAATCCTAACACTTGGGGAGACTGAGGCAGGCAAAATTGCTTGAGCCCAGGAGTTTGAGACCAGCCTGGGCGACATGGCAAAACCCCGTCTCTGTAAAAAGAAAAAAAAATTAGGCGTGGTAGCATACACGTGGAGTCCCAGCTACTATGGAGGCTGAGGTAGGATGACCGCTTAAGCCTGAGAGTTGAGGCTTCAGTGACCTGAGATCGAGCCACTGCATTCCAGCCTGAGAGGCAGATTGAGACCCTGTCTTAGAAACAGGCAGGGCACAGTGGCTCACACCAGTAATCCCAGCACTATGGGAGGCTGAGGCGGGTGGATCACTTGAGGTCCGCAGTTCGAGACCAGCCTGGCCAACATGGCAAAACCTCGTCTCTACTAAAAATACAAAAATTAGCCAGGTGTGGTGGTGCACACCTGTAATCCCAGCTACTGGGGAGGATGAGGCAGGAGAATCGCTTGAACCCAGGCGGCGGAGGTTGCAGTGAGCTGAGATTGTGCCACTGCACTCCAGCCTTGGCGACAAAGTGAGACAAAGTGTCTCAAAAAAAAAAAAAAGTCTAATGTAATCATTACACATTTCTCCCCCTCATACCAATGTACTGCTAATCTGCACACATATATATGCAGTTTCTTTTTTCTTTCTCTTTTTTTGTGTAGTTTTTCTTCCTTCCCTTCCCTCTCTCTCCCTGCTTCTCACTTCTTTCATTTTAAATAAAAATGGATTCATATTTACTTGTTTTTTATCCGTTAACAATATATCATGGATTTCTTTCTGAGTCACTGTGTATAGTTAATTCATTTTAATTTTTTTAATTTTTAAAATTTATTTGAGATAGAGTCTTGCTCTGTCGCCCAGACTGGAGTGCAGTGTGGCAATCACAGATCACTGCAGCCTCAACCTCCTGGATTCAAGTGATCCTCCCATCTCTCAGCCTCCTGAGTAGTTGAGACTATAGGCTAATTTTGTATTTTTTGTAGAAAAGTGGTTTTGCTTTTGTCATGTTGCCTAGGTGGTCTCGAACTCCTGGGCTCAAGCAATCCTCCCGCCTTGGCCTCCCAAAGTGCTGGGATTAGAGGCAAGAGCAACGGTACCTAGTCAACAGTCTCTAAAAAATTTTTTTTAGTGATAAAGTGTCACTGCGCTGCCCAGGCTGGTCTCCAACTCCTGGCCTCAAGGGCTCTTCCCACCTCAGCCTCCCAAGTAGCTGGATTATAGGCTCGAGCCACTGTGCCCAGCCAGTTAACTTCTTCTTTTTTTTTTTTAACTTTTATTTTTATTTATTTTATTTTTCTGAGACAGGGTCTTACTCAGTCGCCCAGGCTGGAGTGCAATGGCATGATCTCGGCTCACTGTAACCTCCGCCTCCGGGGTTCAAGCAATTCTCCTGCCTCAGCCTCCCAAGTAGTTGGGACTACCGTCACCTGCCACCACGTCTGGCTAATTTTTGTATTTTTGTAGAGACAGCGTTTTACCATGTTGGCCAGGCTGGTCTTGAATTCCCGACCTCAGGTGATCTGCCGCCTCGGCCTGCCAAAGTGCTGGGATTACAGGAGTGAGCCACGGCGCCCAGTCAACTCATTCTTGTTAACAGCAAAATATCCTGTAGTGTGGATACACCCATAATTTATTAAAATGTTCCCCATAAATAGTCCGGTTATATCTAATTTTTGCCAGTGAAAAGCATGGTGTAATACACATCCTTGCTCTTATAGCCTGATGCTTTTAGTCTGTAGAGCAGATTTCCCCAAATTGGAGAGGGAAATAAAAGATTTATGTGTCTTTAAAGTTTTAAGAGATTCTGCCTGATTACTTTCCCTAAAGGTTGAGCCAATTCATATTCCCACCAGTAATACACCAATTTTTCTGTTAGTACAATCTTAATAGCCCTGGATGTTATTTGTTTAACATTTCTTGGTGCCAATCTCATGGGTAAACACCTCGTTCCAAGTTTGCTTTCCCTGACAGGCCACGTAGAGCTTTGTTCCATTTGTTGGTCGCCATTCACCTTTCCTGCCCTGCGAACAGTGTGTGCAGGTCCCTGACCCACTTTCCATTGCACCATCTGTTCTTTTCTAATTCTTTGTGGGCACTCACTGGGAGTGTAACTAACTCTGTGATGAGATGTGCAAATTTCTTCTCCCAGTGGGTATCTTTTGACTTTGTTTATGGTGCTTATTGCTAAACAATTTTTTTTTTTTTTGAGA